ATAATAACATGAATCAAATATGTACTTTATTCATTTACAATAAATGTCATAATGTACATCATTCTGATTGGAGCTAAGGGCATACACTGTCTAACAGATAATAACGTAATTTAGGATAATAAAATGTACTTGATATAAAAGATGCGCTGACAGAGTCAACAACAAGTTGAAACGACATCCACAGACGGTAGCAATGGGAATGTAGTTGCTACCATATTCGTGGGAAGAGGTAGGTCTATGTGGGAGGGGGTGGGGTGGGGGATGTAAGTGAGAAGGGGTGGGATTAGCAGGTCACCAATAAAGAAATCAGCCACTTGGCCCTTACGAATTGCGAGTAAAGTATTGGATGAGGGATCTAAATGGTAATTCCTCGGACGGCCACATTGCCTCTTACCTATGAGCAAATCTATGGTACCCAGCCCACCAGTTTTGGTAAAGTAGTATGCCATTAATGCGAGTTTTGGGGCAACAGGTGGGGTTTGTGCATGGATAGTATGTGGCACTAGCCAGCTGTTCGGTTGTCGTGTATGCGCATTGCATGGTTTTGCATGGATGCCAGGTGTTCGGGGGGGGGGGGGCAAATAACTCGTCGGGATCCCATTGCATTAATGCTGGCGAGTTGTTGGAAACCAAGGCGAGGAGATCCCTGGACGGTTTGATGCAATGTCGTTTCCGACCACCAAATCCATCTTCTGAATCTTCATCTGAATCTCGTTCATTGTGATGAACTTTGCAATTTCAACTAGTGTTTGGATTTGGTGACAAGTACACAGGGATATTAAGTTGCTTCTTTGGTCTGTACTCTACCCGAAGACATTCTCCTGGATAATCGATGGATCGAGATTCCAAGAATTATCACGGATCCAGACCCTTGCAATTTGACCAAATGTGACCAATGAGTCCACAATTTGTACAAAACCTTGGAAGTTGTTCATAGCAAAACCGAATCCAAATTGGTTTTCCACAAAAGAAGATGAAACGACCAGTGTATAGTGGTTGTCTTAAATCAATGATAATCTTCTTACGAACATAGAGACCTCTTATTAGATTACCAGTTGGAGTTGCATCTTGATCGGGAATGATGGCACCAGTTGTGCTGGCAAGAAAGCACACACGGTTGTCTTCTACCATGGCTCGAGGGATCATGTGAATTTGTAACAAGACTCGTTGAGTCCAGACCTTGTTCACAAGACCAGTGCTCCATTCTTCAAGAAGAATCCAACTTGAATGGTGAAACCAAGGACTTCCTTCGAGAAACCTTACCGTTATATTTTCTGTAGCTTTCCACTGACTTCGAACATGTGTGGCAAGAGCCTCTTCAAAAACTTGTTGACGTGGGAAGATACACCTCTTTAATGTCAAGTTAATGAGTTGTAGTGCTTCATCTAATGGTTCAAAGATAAGAGGTCGATCCCTATCTTCCACGTTGACTGCATGTGAGAAGGTCTCAAAGTCTTCAGTTGAATGTGTAGAATCTGGATAGGTAATAACTTCTTTCCCTTTTAGAAACATTTTCAGAGTAAAGTAATTGCTCACATGAAAGTGGAAAGGTGAACCTATTGTAGGAACACTATAAATGTTTGGAAAGAATCTTACTGYAGGTCAAACAAACAAAGAGAAGTTAAATGCAAGAATGGGGTTGGTATGCAAGGATGAGGTTGGGTGGTAGCTACGTCCCACTGAACCCTATGGAGCCTAGGCTGGGAAGCTAAATGGAGAAGGGTAGAGTAAAGGGGTGGCTAAGGAAGCAAAACTGTAGCGAGGAGTAGGGTTGTGGAGTTAAGAACGAGTAGAAAAGAAAGAGATAGTAAGAAATGAAGATTTCAAGCTTATAGCTGATAATTTAAACTTGCATGGTTAGTTGACGAGAGTTACAAGCTGATAGCTGCTTCATGACTCTGTTCAAGACAATACATCTCTCTTTGGTTTATTTAAGAATTAAGACATTTCTTTTTGTACACTTGAAACTTAATATTTTTCTCATAGAGAAGATAATAGTGGGATTTAGGTCTATCCCGAAATATATATTTCAGTTTTAAATGTATTTCTATAAAATATATTCTAAAATATATAATATGTATATTTCCATATATATAATATATATA